TGATTTGATTGAAGAATTGCGTTATCGTTAATTAAAAGCTTTATATTTACAAATTAGTCAAAGGAATTCCATTGAATAAAGAAATTATTAATAATAATATAGGCAAATAAAACTTAGATAATACGAGCAAGAAGAAATAATGTCGACTATGTAAACAAAAACAAAAATGAATTGTTAAAGTAATTAATTGTTTAATTAAATGCAATGAATAAATTAAGTATATGTTAGGTAGTTAAAGATAAGCTCGGCGTGAAGTGATGTAATTTAAGTTTGATTACTATTAGGCTTATTTATTTGAAATTTATAACTGTGAAGTAATTAATTAATTAATTAAGTAATTCAATAACGACTTGTAACATTATTTGTTCATACAAATACTTATGTTGGCTAAATTATGTTGTTAATTTTAAACAAAAGCTAAACGAAACTGATATTTGTTAATAAATTAAAACTAAATCAATAACAGAAAATAACAGAGAATAACAGAAAATGGAAAAGTATTTGTGAGCAAAAAAAGTAATTAATTAAGAACACAAAGAAATTTGATATATCGAAATAAATGAAAAATTAAATGTAATTAAAATTGATAAAAAAAAAATAATTCAATTAAAAGGAAATTAAACAAAGAAAATTATAAAATTCATTGTGAACGATGCTAAAAATTGAATATCGTAAACGTTAACTATTACAAGGACACATACTATGTAATAATTAATTAGTGTGATTAAAAAATCAATTGATTCAATAATTACTTAAGTTAAGTTATCAAAATTGAAACTGAAAAGTAAAAAATGAAAAATCAGAAAATTAAATTATAAAAAATAAAATTAAATACTGTAAAATGTGTATTTGCTGTATGAAATCACTCGAATATTAATGTTATATGTTGTTAATTAAATAAAGTAAATATAAAACAATATTAAATCAAAACTTGCAGGACATTGTCATTAAAGTGTAAACAAATAAATCAAAAATAAACATAAGTGTTAAAATAAATGTGAAAATTAAACTAATAAAGATGTCATCGGTGTAGTATCAGAAATGATTTATAAATGTTTAAAAAAAAAAAGCTTGAGTTTTATTTATTTTATTTTAAATTATGTTATTTGAGATTGTGATTGTTTTTGTTCCACAAATGTAATGCGTTCTTTTTTTGTTGAGAAGGAATTCATATAATTAATATATAATCATTGCATAAATTAAGAATCAGTATATTTAAATAATTTACTCATGAAGACAAATATTTCTTTAACCTTATATTTTTGAAGTACTATTAGAGCAATTACTCCAAGCTAACAGAAATAATATTTCACTAATAGCATTCTTTTAATCGCTACTAAATAACATACTGCTACTTGCTGCTAGATAACATTCTGCTAACATTTGTGCATACTGTAATCTGTACATTCTGCTTATGTCTATTCTACCATAAGTATATACTATATATATATATCTCTGACAAAAGTGCTAATAATAAAATTAAAAAGATATACCAATTACTTTGTGAAAATACTAATGTCACTCATCACTAAGTACAGGAGGTATGTCATTATAGAAAACCCAAATAATGGAAATAAATCGTTACAAGCATATAGTTTTCTAGTTCCCAATCTTGATTTCACTCGTCACTAAGTACAGGAGGTATGTCATTATAGAAAGCCCAAATAATAGAAATAAATCGTTACAAACGTTTATAAATCTTTTAATGGAATTTAATGGATCTAGTTCGCAATCTTGATTTGGAAGCGCTGTTTTAGTAATAACATAAGACAAAAAAATTATAATGGAAAGCATCATTTATTTAGTTTAAGCTTTATCATTTTAGAATATTGATCCTTTTACAATCTCTGATGATGTAAAAGTTATTAAAACCTATTATAAAAATGGTGCTGATCGAATTGTTTTCAGGAATAAGATCTACTATACGCTTGGTACATATCTGAATAAAGAAAATATGTCCTGTTGCAGCAGGATAGTAAAAATGTACAAATAACCATTGAAAGACAATTGAATATATAAAACGTCAATACAACGTCAGCAACATTCATCATTTAGTGGGTATATATGATAGAAACGTACTTTATAGAAAATGATAAAAATCTGGCATAAACTGTCAGTTCAAAAGGAGCTTTATTTTTTTTAGGATCTGAGTCAACTGCGAGACCTCGCCTTGAATAGCATTATAAGCTTTGCCAAAGGTTCAAAGTGGTTCTAAACCTCTGAATTTATCTATATACAGTAATAAAATGTGTTTATTGGCGTAAATTGAACCCTTGGGATCGCTGGTATAACCTAACATATATAAGTATTATAACGCGATAAAAAGAAACAAGGAAAAGATCTAACTATTTGGCCTTCTTCTTTTCTATGACACGAAAATTACACCTATATTTATATACGAAATTATTCTAACAAAAATCATCTGTAAATGTATAGATAATATATAAGAATTATATAAGAAAAAATAGAAGAAATACATATAAGAAAATATAATAAAAAGAAATTTTAAGAAAAAATTTGTGTGAGTTATAATTAAAGGTTCTTAAACAAGCTAATGATCTTATCGCCGATTAAAATTATTTATATACACTTAATTATATATATATAATTATATACAGTTAGTTAAGTATTCATAATATATATGTATTAAATTTTGTGTTCTCGAAATCTCAGAATGAACTTTGTTGCTACCTAACTGTTCTCTTTTTATTATTATTTTATATATTATTATGTGTATAGTTGCTACCTGGCTGTTCTTTCTTATTATTACTATTATATATAATTTTTTTCGATATTAGAAAGAACAACAGATGTATTAACGAAACTGCAGGTAGCAACAAGTAATCAGAGATATTCAACAGAATATCAGAGAGGTTAAATAATATATAATGATAATAAAGGAAATACAATGAATGTCGTAGCAACAACACAATGTTTACAATATTTGACTTTTTATTATATTCTGTTAAATAATGTTGAAGATTTGGTAAGAGAGGTGATAATAGAACTTATTAAAGAGCATATCAGCCACATACAAAATATAAAAACAAATCTGATGTAATTATGGGTAACTAAAGAAGCAATTATAAAAGTGAAAAGAAAACAATATTAGAAATTTCTAAAAATTGACCTTTTTAAATGAAAACCGTAAAGAGTTTTTGCTGATTTTGTAGCTTCTATTTATAGGCTTAATAAGTCTATCCTTGAATAAGTCTATAGGCTTATTCAAGGATTAATGCCTCGAACAAAAGTTTGGATAACAAAGAGTGCTCATAAAGTAATTAACCATCTCTTAATGTTATGATGTTATAAGAGAGGTGTGGGCGCGTGTATGTACAGGAACCTTGAAACAGAAATTGAGAACTGATATGAGATTTTAATGTAATGACCCTTTATTTCAGTTAATGTATTAAATATTGAGCTGAAATTTATTAGACTAATTATTTTTTTATTTCCTCCTCAGTTTCTTTAAGAGGTTTTAGAAAAAACAATATGCAAATCTGAAAAATACAAAAGTAAAATTTCTCAATTATTTAATCACAACAATGTTTCTTTCCACCCATACCACCCCGTATGCGGTAGTCTGACTACCAGTACTAGTATTATATATTAATTATGGAATTGTTTTTATTTATTTGCATATTTTACATTATAATAATTTTTCTAGCAGCTTTAGTTTATTAAAATTTTTAAATAACCCCTAACATTAATATATTATTAATAATATATTAATATTAATTAATTAAGGATTTTTGTTGAACTTCTAATAAAGTATTTTATATATAAAATATATAAATATTCAAGATATAATTCTTTATGTTATTATTTATTACTCAAATGCTTATTGATATAAAATATGTATCTTCTTTTTTAACCATATATAATAATTTTTATACCAATTAGTCTTTGAGTACTCATATTTTTTATATTCTTTTATAAATATTAATTTTTTAAATTTTGTTTTAATTCATACCTTTTTGTAAATTTTATTAAATCTATGAGAAGTACTCTTCGCTGTTAACTAGCAATTAGCACTATTAACTTTAATTTGTTAAAATTTTATTATAAAATAACTCTTAATATTTTTATAATTTATTAATAATAATAATAATTTATTATTTTTAACATAGATTTATAAGCTTTTTTCAAATCATATTTTATATGTGTTTATTTTATAAATTATTATCTTTTGATTTTTTATTTAATCCGTTATTATTATAGCATTAATTTTACCAGTTTAGATTTTTTCGAGAATTCATATAAAAAGATTATATTCAGTTTAGAGATGATATATGGCTTTATTCTTAGTTTTAACTTGACTCATAATAAGTTTTCTGATTATTACCGAGCTTAAGACGTTTACTTAACACATAATATTATAAAAAATCATATTAAAATTTGTATTAAATAATTTAATTAATTTTAATATTTTCTTCTTCTTAATTCCTTTATGTTCTTGTGGGGCATAGGGCCTCCATAATTATATATTAGTTTTTATAAAAAGCATTTGCATTTTTGTTAAAAATATAATTCAAATATACAACAAAAATTAATAAGTGTAATTTTTTATAATTTTGTGTGTTAAATAAATGATCTAAGCCACGTAATAACAAAAAAACTTATATTTTTATTATATACATAAACATAATATTAATTATATTTTATATTTTTAATATATATATTTAACAAATAGAAATAATTGAACTCAGTTGTTTTTATTAAAAATTTGAACTTAAACCCAAAAAATCTAATAATAATTAATTTTAATTTCAAGTCTGTTTTAGCATTTTATATATAACTCATATTTAGTGTATATAATATGTAATTCACATTAAAAATATCAATTTATATGTCAATTTTTGCAATGAGCTTGAGCAGTTTTCAGTTATATTTAGATTATTTCTGTATAATTTAAAATTTCTGTCTAAATATCTTCCACTGAACGTACACTACACTCGATTTATTCAAATTAAAGCAGCACAAGTAGTTGCGAATGTATTTCACTTCCAAATCGTTAACAGGTAGAGATTGATAAATAAAAAAGAGATGGATATGATATGTTTGAAACACAAGCCGATACTTGTGAGCAATAAAAAGAGCTGAAGGAAAAAAATTGGCGGTAGTTGACAAAAGGAAACAGCGAATAAAACAAAACGAATTCCAAAACGGAAAGTGTGAAACAAGTAAAGTGAAGAAAGAAAGCCAAACGAAACGTTTAACACGCAGAGAGATTTTATTTCATTACAAGAATTTGAACAGTTTGGAACAAGCGAAAATTTTTGCGAAGTATTTTGTGAAGTTAAGTTAGAAAAAAATATCCGCCAAAACGCGCAGAAGACGAGTTTAAATCGTTGAGTGCACAGATTTTATTATAAATAGTTAAGGTAAGCCATATAAAAAATTTTTAAAATCAATTTTTTAAAAAAGTGTATTAATTAAAAATTTTTTCTATAACCAAACAACTTTATCGCTGCTACGAATTTGTGTACAAAACAAAAGAGAATACGCATCAGACGTAAATCTTGAATTATTTCACACGTTGCAACAGAATTCAACGCCAACTGTTTAATTTTTGTGAAAAAGTGCCGACATAATTAAGGATTTACCAAAGTCACAGCCGGTTGCTTTAGAAACTTAAAGTGCGAATTAAATTCGAGATATCAGATATTAACAGCCAACGTTGGTCAAAATTACATATTAAAAACAATTAAAATGGAAAAGAGAATTCATTTAGAGAAACGCGGCAAGAAAGCAAACCAGGTAAGTGTAGTGCTAACTTTTAATAACAAAAAAATTATGAATTAATTTTGAAAAAACGTATTGCATAGCTGTATTATGTGTAAAGCTTAATTTTAATCGAATATAATTTTCATTCTGAATTTTGTGTATAAGTAATCATGAGGAACTTCACATTGAAAACGCACGTTCACACATACACACACACGCACACACATAAGCTAAATTAATCTGTCGCATAAAATTGATCGCCATCAATGTGTACTCTGCTTTTTTATGTAAGGGTTGCCACTTCAATGCTGTGCAAAAACTTAGTCGAATATAATAAATTATTATTGCAGTGAATATGCAAATTAATATAAATTCATTTAAAATTTATGTGATATAAGATTTATATCTATTCACTTCCATTCAGAATATAAAATGATGGCTGCTTGGCTTCAGTTTACAATTCAAACAAAAAGTACGCCATTTGCCGGGGCTGTAAAAATTCGTTTGTGCGTTGAACATGTGCAATAAAGAACTTAATTTCCACATAATTAGTGGCTTTTCAAGAAGTTTAAACGTATTACAAATATCTATATATATAAATATATATAAATGTGCATATATGATGAACCAGTCATGGAAACATTTCATTGTATATCACTCATTATGCAACTTGTTACTGTTTTGAGATACTAAAAACGGGCGTAAACTGTAAAGAATTCCATTTCTTAAAAAATTTTCATAAATAATAATAATTCGCATATAAAGAATATATTTTAGCTTCTTTAGAATACTATAGAGAATTAACTTTCAAAAAAAAAAACATATTGCAAGTATCTATAGTCGACGCATTGTGAAATAATGGCTATTTCATAATAAAATTTATCCTGAGCACAGGTTGAAGCCCTATGCTCCACTGAGAGAAGTGGACCAGAATATATACTTCAGGTCTCATTTTCTGTTACTTAAAGATATGCAAAATCCAAGACACATTTATTTATAAGCTTCTGAACAGTTAGTGAAGAGAAAAGACTGGTACTGGTACCAAAACTATTGATCTTCAAGTTTAAAGTTGGATCTATCAGTTTATTTTAGTGGAGTACTCTTAGTATTCAAATTTTTAAGTTTAAAATATATTAATTTGCATTTTATATTTGCCAAAATTGGTCAATTATTAAATTTTTTATAAAGCACAATTAAAATTTCTAAAACTTTTGATATATTGTTGTAGTAGCACGCTGGAGTCATGATCTGCACTTAACTGGTCCACAGTAGATATGGAAGATATACAACTACTGAAAGCAATACTTTTATATTGTGAATATTAATTCATATTCATATCATATCGGCATCTATAGTAGAGATAGACTTTGGCCAAATTTATGTGTTTAAATACAAAGGCGTGTAATTTTCAAATTTTTTAAAATATATATTTTAATGAAATATTGAGAGCATATACCAAAATCTTGTCAAAACGTAGTCAGTGTAGATATATCAGGAGCTACTTATTGTTTTTATTTAATCATGATAACTTCATAGAAATTAACATTAAACTTCAATTTGTAAATGAAGGAATTTCAGATTAGTTCCGCTAAATATAATTAGATGTATCAGAAATGTCAGGAGTTCAAACTTTTAAAACTATATAGAATTAATATCATATAATATAAAATTATTGCTTTACTAGTAGTTTTATTATATATACCAACAAATAATAGTAGCTCATATATTTGTTTTGAATCTTTTTTCTAAGTACTGTTTGTCAAAAATTCGAGTCATTAAATACACTACCTGCTCTAAATGGATTTTAATAACAAAAGATAGTATAAAGAAATAGCTAAAGTACTACAACTTGAAATAGAATGTTAAAATAACATTTGCTACCTGTCCTAAATGACCATTTTTAATATAAGATATATAGAATTAAATCCTTAAATTTTAAAATCCGATTTATTTTGTGGTTTTTAATATTATAAAATACCATAAAGAAATAGTTTAAGTATCAGAAGTTAAAATTAAATTTTATGCTTTAAATTATTATTATTATTTATATATAAATTAAAATTATATATAAAATATATATATATATATATATATATTTATATTAAAAAAATATTTACATAATTGTTTGTACACTAAAATTAATATCTGGAGTACTTTGCATAAGGAACTCCCCACCAGTTCTAGGTAAAAAGGAAAGATAGAATAATAAAGTATAGAATAAAGGTAGAATAAAATATTTATAGATAGAATTGCTTCTTGTTTTTCAAATTATAAGTTTTAATTGACAGATTAAAGACAAAATTATATTTTATATTAATATTTATTTGAAACATAATATGAACTTTTTAAGTACTGACAAGTATTACTATTTGTTTAACAAGTGGGATTTAACACTGTAATTCGATTAGTCAAGAACAGATTATTTATTTTATCCTTAACAAAAAACAACATTAACAATTTAGTTATTTTATTATGATTTCTAGTTAATGCAAACCATAAATATAATGAAAAGCTAGAATAATGCTAGATTTAGACTACTAAACAGATGTTATTTTTGATAGACAATGGTTCTCTTGTTATTATAATTTTTTCGTAATTGATAAGAGTAACAGTTCTAAGAAAAACATATTATCATATCATATCATATTATATATCTGAGTTTCGAGTATCTCTCTAGTTTCGAATTATTAAAAAATAGTTTCTATTAAATAATATAGTCACTTCCGTCATAATTGACGTTAAGTTACAACTTATATTATGCATATTGTATATAATATTATATACAATATATTATTATAACTTTTCTATAATGTAAAATATTTTTATCAACCACAAACCTTCTTTTGTAGTAGCTAATATCTTTATTGAAATTGATATTATCGTTCAGAAGGTGACATAAAGGCGGAACTTCGATAGATTTAAAATTGAATCCATGTACTAATTATACACTGCTCTAATTTCCATAAACCATCTTTTTTACTTTTCCTCCGATCCTTGTCATATAAATGTAATCCCTTTTCGTTATTTTACTTGCTGAGTTTTTCAAGAACTAGTAAAGTCTTAAAACAGGCAGATTGTTTAGTATTGATCTGTATCAAATCTTCGTTCAAAAATTTTTATCAGTTCAGTTAATAATCTCACAAATTATTCAAAATATTTGACTAAGAGAAGGGGTGGACGACACTTAGAACAGGGCCCTGTTGTTATCTCAAGAAACTAGTGCACATTAATACAAAGGGGCGGTACCTATAGGTTAGATTTATTTCTTTTTTGAGGTTGATCTCACTGTATAGCTAAATTATGATCTCTAAATCAAGTCATTTTATGTATTAGGGTATATAGAGAGTTTCATTGATATCTGTCTTTCAATGCTTTGCAAACATCTTAATAAAGCTAATATAAGTTTTTTAAATATAAGAAATTACAAAATATATGTTGAAATTTAAGTTTAAGCACTGTTTCGATTTTATAGATTATCTATAGATTGTTTCGAATGTTATTGTCATTTTGCAAAGTGTCTACATATATATATTACGCGCTTACCACCGATGTTCTTACTCGAGATAGTAAACATATTCTAAATGTACACTGTCAGGAATGTTGTAGACACTGTGAAACTTTGTATATATTACTCGATTACCGATATTAATTCCACTTTAGTGTTATTGAAATTTAAATTAAAATAATTGAATTCATAACATAAATTCTGTGACAGTTTGTCATAACTTTGTTTGGAATATCAGCTTTTGTAAAGACAGTGGAACAACATGAATTACAGAAGAAAAAAAATCATTTATCATTAGTTATACTAAATTTCTTCTGTTGTAATTATATATTAGAAGTTATTGTAGAATTTGTTCTATTAGAATCATAAATGAAGGTAACACTAACCATAGTGGTTCACTGTTATCGCCGGACGACTCAATCAACGATGGTGTTCAGAAATATTTTCATTGCCTAAGACATTTGGCTTTTTGGAATGAATTAGGACAGATTTTTTTTAAGTCATATTCTGTTAGATTTGAAGTAAGCTTTTTCGCTAGGTACATAAACAGAAATTTATTGCAGAAAATCGGTTTTCAGATAATTTCTGGAATTTCAAAAATATTTTTTTATCTTATTTCACACACTCATCACAATGCAATAGTAATGAATATACTTATGTATAAAAAGAGGCTTATGATTCATTTAGGGATGGAAGGAGAGCTTTTGCTATGCCTCGAATCTAGTGTCTGCCTCAAACATTAGTATAACCTAATTTGAAACACTTCAGCACAGATATTGTGTTTATATATCATATAAAGCATCTAAAGAAGCATAACTTATGCATCAAGTTTTTAGTCAACCACCCATAAATTGTTTTCTTATAGACTTCCATTCCTCATCCCTGCTTTCTGTAGTGTGCGAATAAAGCTTCGCTAAAAATCTACTAAACTTTTAATCACATTTTAATTTTTGTTTTATTTCAGCATAAATGTTGTAAAGTTGTTAATAGCATAAAGTTTTGTTATTCTGTGGTTCTGATATTTTGTTATTCTGAAATAAACAAATTCACACAAAGCGATTAAAAATTTACTTGTTTTTCTATAAAATTCGGTCTTTTTCGGGTCTGCAATGAAATATGAAAATAAACGCGTTTCTGCTCAACAACCAGACGAATTGTTGGTTTTTCATGGTCAGTGTGTATAACAAAACAACAACAATTTGCGCATATTAAGCTATGGTCGGTCAAAATAAAATAAAAATAAAATCATTAAAGCGCGATACATTAGCAGAAATATTTTTAATCCGAATTCGTTTTATTTATCTGAGATGAATTTGTGGTTGAATATTTAGCACAGCTTGCAATTCACCTTCCAAATTATTTATTTACAAAACTCATTGAAATGATTTCAAATAAACTCTATTGTCATCTGCCTCTGTCTCTGCCTCAGTCTTTGCTAGCCAAATATTATTTCAAACTCTTAATCATTTTGAACCAAAACAAAATACTTGGTTGGGTGTCTGTATGTATCTACCTAATAAAGATTCTGCATAATTGCAATTATTCTTTCTAATGATGTGCTGTGCCTAAAGTAGCGCAGAAATGCTTCGAGTTTTGCTCTACTAAAAGTATCTATAACGCATAAACCTTTTACTGCATACACTTGCATTTATTTGCACTCGTCAAATTAACAACACATGCAGATGTGCTGCCGCCTGCCTGCATTCATTTAATGTATTTATGCATGTATCGATGTCGTCGTCGATGAGAGAGGAAAGTGCCAAGTAGCAAGTAAAGGAAAAATTTTAAAATTATTATCCATACTACTCTTATGAAATGTAATGGCATTGCCACAATATATGCGAGTATGTTGCCTTTGGTGAGTGCCTGCCTGCCTACCTGCGTGGTGCACAGAGCCGTTGTTGCGATAAAAGAATGTAGTATCGGGTAATACCGTCTTGTTTTATCCTTTGCGCCATCCTTTGCTATGACACAAAATATTCCACATAAAGTAGCTATGGCAAATTCAACATAAATGAAATGTACAACAGACCCCCTGACCCTTCCTTACTGCTGTCTGCTGCGGCTGCTGCTGCCTTAGCAATTAAAAAACCACTACAATTTGTTTCTTTAACGATTTTCATATGAAACTTTAAAAGTGACAATATTTCAAATAATATTAAAAATAAATTAGTTAAAAAAAACAATTAATAGGATTAATTAATGTTTATAATGGTGTGTGTTGATTAGGTTCGTTAAGGTTGGAGTGGTGGCCTTATACACCAAACCCCACTTGAGTTTAAGTAATGACATAGATTAAAAGCATTATTCATACGCAGACCCCCGCATTCAGTTAAAAGAGAACCAATATCACAAGTCAAGTCCTTAATTTTGCAGGATGACAACTCTTTGGCCGGTAAGCAAAGGTGATGCCCTCAAAGACAAAATCTTCTCTTAACAAATGTTAAATACTGACAAATTAGATGGAGCATAGTTTCCTACTTCTACTTCAGAGTCACTAACACGATAAGTGTTATTATAAGATAGAGCCAGTTTCATAGTATGTGTTTCTAGTACGCAGTGATCAATACCGTAATGCTAAGCAAGTTCCGTTTTAGTCGAAACAAGTGATTGCAGATTTATATACACATTCTCGACCTAGAGGAAACAAACGTAAATATGACGAAACCTGCGTAATAGGAAACAATTGGTAAAGAGGAGAGATAAAAGCAGAAAATAAAGAAAAAGACTAATGATGGTAATGTTGAAACTAATATGGCTATGAATGTTAAGCTAATCTGGTTGGGCATATTCAAGCTAACATGGGAGGTAATATCGAAGCTATTCTGTATAAGAATGTTGAAGCTATCCTGTGTGAGAAAGTTGAACCAAACCAAGGTCCAACAGTTTAGGACAATAAAAAAAAGACTTAATTGGTAAAAGGTAGTAGCATAGAAAGAGATGGTAAAGCTATTGAAGCTAGGCTGGGTTCAACTGAATGAGGCGTAATTGACATAAACTTTTTAGATTTATCTCTGTATAAGTTTTAATAAGTCCTAAGTCTATAAAAAAAATCTATTTAGCTTATGTCCGTCTGCGTGTCCATTTTTGTTAATTGTATAGTAATTTTAAACGCAATTCCAAAAGTGTTTGATTTTTACTATATTGATTTAAAATAAATACATTTAAGTATTATTTTTGAATATTAAAACAAAACTTGCAATGAATTTATCATGTTGAACATCAATTAAATGCTCTAAAACGAATTATAATCTTTGTTACCGTCTGTCTGTCTGTCTGTCATTGTGCAAAAAGGTGGTGAAACATGGTCAAATGCAATTGCAATAATAGAAAAATGAAGAGAAATATTTCATTTGTTCCCCCCTTACAAGCTCCACAAATATTGGCATCTTAAATTGAAGAATTTTTAGGAAAAATGGCATTTATTAAGAACATTCAGTAGACTGCTTCAATGGAAACGTAACAACATGGGTAACCAAAACAAACAGAAAGTTAAATTTATTAAATTTGATTAAATCTCACCCATACCCAATCTATTGTCAGTTCTAAACAAATCCCCTCCTCTCTCACACTAGGATTGCCTATCCATATCTTAACCCATGTATACATTTTTAGCAATTCCTTTCATGGTATCTGCTTTATAGATCCCTGCGGGATATAACAACAACAACTTTATATATTATAATATATACATAATAGTATATTTTATTATAATATATATAAAGTATATTATATAATAATATATATAAAGTATATTATATAATAATATATATAAAGCATATTATGTATACAATATAAATATAAAGTATTTTATATATAATATAATACATAAAGCAATTTATATATATTATTTTACGATATATTGAATTTAAATATATTTTAAATGGTCTCCTCATAAATCTGACTCGGTGGACCTTGCTTTCATTAAATCCCTTATTGATACCACCTGTTGTATCACTCTTTGAAGATTTGGTATCGCAGTCTGGATTAGTTAAAATTGAACAAACGTTTATTATAGGGATATATATGAATCCTTCAAAATAATATAATTTGTTTAATTACTAAAATAAAAACTAACTTTACGTTCCATTATATAAAGCAAGGTGTCATAAAGTGTAATAAATTAGTTTTTAATATTTTAAACTAAAGATATTCACTTCATTTCTCCAATCAAAAGAATATCAATACCAATATTAGAATAAACCATATCGAACTGAATATATAAATATAACCCATTGACTTATGTCCAACCATATACTATATATGCGTTCCTAAATATGGGGGATAATTTCTCTATTCATATAAAGCCCACAAATTTTGTTTATATTTCTCAATGAAATATTTTTATGGAAAATTCATATCTTTTACTAATTTAATTCTATTTTATTGAGATCTGTTAACATATAAAGCTAACGCTTCACTCCTAAACCTGCTACACCCGGCGAATTTGCAATAAAAAATAAAATAAAATAAAATTTTATGAAACGATTAAGAGGAGTATTTGTACTGTACGACTATATAAACCCTAGTGACCTTAGCAATATTATTGATAACAGCCACAGAGAATGTAAAAATAGTGAATTAACTTAAATAGCAAAGCTAATTTTTTTTTATGCCAAAAAGAAATAATAAATAATATTAAATCATAACTTATCTACCACAAAGTGTGCGGTATTTAGTAGGAATCGTGTGGCAAGAGCGAAAATTTTTTTATGAAAGAAAACGATAAAACAGCAACAACTGTAAACATATATTTTTTTGTTGTTTTCCCTTGTTGCTGTTGCATATATTTATTTCGTTTTCCCTTTTCATTTTATTGACCGCTAATGTTTCGTTTTACATCGTTTCGTTTCTTACGCGCGTTTTACATTTCTCTTGTCTATCGCTATGTCTGAATGTTTCACTATTTCATTCCTTTTTTAACCCCTTTCTTTCCTCATATTCTTTCTGTTTCTAATTACTTTTGTATTACATAAATTTGCTAAAAATTCATTTTTAATTATTGAAAAATCATAATATAAATTGACATTAAAGAGTTTAATAAATAATTTGTACATATATTATTCACATCTGCATACATTTTCATTCAAATTTAATACGTTGATAATCGATTTTTATATACCATTTTGTATAAAAAATTGTTTCGCGTTCACACACTTACAACGCAACGCAATATGGCGGCGGCTGTCATGAACGCTTGTTAAATAGCGACTAGTTTCATCTTTGTTTCGCACTTTACTTTGAAGCTGAAAAACAAAGCCACTAAATTTTACTTTCGTTTGAATTTATCATTTTTCGCTTCAAAATTTCAATGTTGCCACATTTACAAATATTAATAGAATATTTACATATATTGTAAAATGCTCATTATGACCATATTTGTACTACATCGCTATACACAAAATTGTACTATTTTAAATATAATAATATTTAATAAATAAAGGGTTAGATATAAATATATACATATATGTATTTATTTATATAATTATTTATTTATTTATATAATTATTTATTTATTTATATAATTATTTATTTATTTATATAATTATTTATTTATTTATATATTTATTTCTTTATATATTTATAATATATTTATTTATATACATATTTATGTATATATTTATATAATCTAACTCGATAAACAAGACACAAAATCTATTAATTGCTTTATTAATCTATTTATTGCTTGGAGAAAATTGACAGGTTTATTTATCGAACCCATTTAATAAAAAAATTTATTGTATTAATTTATTATATTAAGAAAAAGCATACTAATAAGAATTTTTTATTTTATTTTAGATCACAGAACTTAATTTAGATAATTGTCGCGCAACAAGTATTGTTGGTTTTACTGAAGAGTTCACCGCGCTTGAAACCTTAAGCCTAATCAATGTAGGTCTCACCACATTAAAAGGTTTTCCAGTTTTACCCAATCTAAAGAAGTTGGAGCTTTCTGATAATAGGTAATATTTAAAGATGTAATATAAAAAGTGATTCATTAATAATATTAATATTATTTTTTTAGAATATCAACTGGTCTTAACTACTTGGCATCAAGTCCAAAGTTGCAGTCACTTAATTTATCTGGAAATAAAATTAAGGAGCTGGAAGCCTTGAAGCCATTGCAAGAATTCAAAAATCTTGCTGTGTTGGATTTGTTTAACAATGAAGCAACTCTGGTTGAAAATTACCGTGAGAAGATTTTCGAAATGTTGCCGTCTCTCAAATACTTAGATGGGTAAGTCATAATTCATATATATTTGTAAGTCATATATATTTGAAATAGAATTCTTGTCATATGACAAGAAATTCTTAATTGAAATAAATAATTTATAACATTTAAAATAACTATATATAAAACTTTATTTTTTTTTTATAGGTTTGATTGTAATGACGTTGAAGTTCAGTCAGAGGATGATGACGATGAAGTCAATGGAAATTCTGATGACGAATCAGGTAACAAAATTTATAATAATTACATTATATATTATTATCGATAGCGTATAAATTTGTCTATTATATATAATATAATATATATAAATGATTTAAAAAAAGTTGGAAGTATTGGAGCGCCGTGAAAGATCTATTTATGTATATTGTTATACACATAAAAGATAAATATATTATTATATCTTAAAATTATATAGTGTGTGGTGGTTCATTATAACGATTTTAATATCATAATCATAGTTACTCACATTTTTCTTTAATAATATTCACAACAAAACACATATCGTACTTTGTTTAATTCTTGGAAAATTCACGAATTTTCAATAAGTTTGCCTCATTCAATTATTTCAGATAAACAAAATGTATTTTGTTTAAATGGTTTAGAGTTTGATTTGGATGAATTAGAGGAGTTTGAAAAACGTGTTAAAGCAAAAAAAGAATCAAACTGTGCTTCTAGAAATATTGACGAAGTAGATGATTTAGATGAATATTTAAAAGAATTAAATTTGAAGGAAGCAAATAATTCCAACTCCAAAGCCAACGAAGAAGATGAATGTAAACAGTCTTCCAGTTTAGTGGAAACAACATCCACGAATAGATTTTCTCTTAGCTATGTACTTACACTTTATTGGTTTTATGCCATATTAAACTTGGCCACTATCGTTTTTAGAATTAATAATAGTAAGCAATTTGTAAATATGTAACAATTAACTAATCAATAAATTTTATCTGCTTTTTATTTCAAGATTCTGATGGCATCGTTGAAGATGATGAAGATTTAGAAGATTATGGTGAAGACTCATGTTCTGATGAAGATGCGTACGAAGAGGATGATAGCGACGTTTCTTTGTCAGAAGTAAGTATAACAGTTAATGAAAATATATCAAATTTTTTGTTAGCCCTTACATTTAGAGCATTCGTAACTTTAGTCTCAAAACAGACTTTAATATAGATTAAGGCATTAAAGTTGCTGACTTAAGTCACTATTGAGAATTGAGTTATTGTTATTGATTGTGATTTGGCTACTTATCTAAGAAAATATCATATATTAGAGAAGCTAATATCTTTAATATATTGCTATATAATTCCTATATAATACAAGCGTATGTGTTTATAAATAATATTATAAATGTATTAATTTTTAATTAGTTTATAATTTATATATTATATCACAATAAACATTTATTAAAAAAATAATTATTCTATTTAAGGTGTACAATGAAGATCTAGAAGAAGATAATTCTGAGTGGGATGAAGATGGTGTTGAAGAAGAGGATGATGATGACATTGAGGATGATGAAGCTTTTGCAGATGGTGAACTTGATAAATCTGCAAGTAAACCTGCTGTAGTGGAGGAAAAGGCTTCCGCAAATGATACTGGTAAGTTTAAAAAAAAAAAAAATTACTAATATAATTTGAGTCTAATTGATGATTTTCTTACAGAAGAATCGCAGGCACGAGGAAAGAAGAGGAAGCATGATGGTTAAATTTTTTAATTCTTCTTTTCTCTTTTTTTTACATGGAAAATTTTTATTTTTGATGATATACTTCTTAATTTTAATTTTTCAAAAGTATAACAAAAAATGAAACAAAATCAAATTTATTGTGTAAGCTAAGAAAAATGACGATTTCAATACGCAACCACAACAAAAATCAATTACATGTGTAGTAAACATTTAATTTTAAATATATAAAAAAAAAACTATATATATTTATGAGAATGAACATTTTAAATATTTCAAAATATTACAACAAAAAAGAATTAAAAAAGATGCAGAAAATCAATAATAAATGTATAAGCATTTACATTATCAATTATTTCAAATAATCAATATTGTTCTTTTTCTGGATTGTGTTTTATGACGCATATTTTTCGATTTTTTATCTATCCAGGAAGGTCTTTAAAATCTATTTTAATAATATTTAAAAAAATTGTTTTAATTTATTTCTCTGCTAAATTTAAGTTTAACGTAAATTTAATAAACAACCACAGAAATAAATATGAATGCGTAAAAGAAAACATAAAATGCTAAATGTTGTGTTAATTTATGTTTAAGGTAGACAAGATAAGCGTTAAAATATTTAATAATTCTACCACATTAAGTTGAGATAAAATTTATAAAATATTTTATTCGTGAATATTTCACATACTTCATTCATATGTTAAATTAAGTCATTCCTTTGTAGTTTCTACAATGAAATACCGTACGTACGTACGAGAAAAAAAAATATCTTATCAATTTGAGGAAAGTATATGAATATATTTATGTTTTTAGTTTTAAATCTGCTGTTTAACAATATTTTAATTACAATGTAATCAACTGCATTGATTTTCATTTAATTCATTTTTTCTACTCATAATAATTATTAAAAATTAATGACAACCTATATACTTTAAATAGTAAGACCGTTTGCAAAATACCTTCCACAAAACAATAAAATTAACACTTCAGATAAATTTATGAATGTATAATTTAAGTATTGAAAAAATAAAAAAAAAATAATATAAAAATCTATACAAATCTTGTTTAAATGTAGACGAAAAAATATAGATATTTTGATATAGAAATTAAAGGCATGCTAAAAATGATTTTTGATTAGAAAAACTGGCAAGTTTTGTCTTTAACAAATTAAGTACAATAGTATTAAATTAATTTTTAAATTTAGTTTAACAATTTAAACTAAAAACATTTATTGGACAAACTTAATTACAAAGCTGTTAAATAATAATATTGAATACAATTATATTAAAATCACTCTTGCGCTCGTAAAGAAAGGATATCGTGGTTCAACTGCTGCAAAGGATTACATTTGTACTCTGTAATTTATAATTTAGATTTTAAACATTATGAAGAATCACATTATTAGTATAGTCATTATATTATATGTAACTGGCGAAAGGTAAAGAATCGAACTTGTCTGGCTTTCAAAGCAAGCCTAGCGATCTGTATAATATCATACCGCAGGCGGCCGGAACTACGGCAAAAATCCACTGGTCAAATACAACGACCGAGGTATTGTTCAGCACTCCGAAAAGATGATATCAGTAGGAACCTGTTCTTTTTTACACTTTTCGGCTGCACAAACGATTAACATTTGGTTAATACAGATGACTAGCTTTCTACAGCTACATCCAGATGTATGCACAAGAATTCCAGATTGTAGACCGTAGAATCTACTTTATTTTTTAATCAAATTTATCAAAACTTAACCATTAGTATTTTGGATTGAACGAACTTTGTTTGAAAGTGAATTTTTGAATATGGATAAAACCACGTTGTTGACCCGGTCGCTCTTAGAACCCTATGATATTACGGTTGTCTAACAATAAGGTTCTCAACAGGTTCCGCCTGGTATTTCTAGTTATCAGGGACGTCTTGCTGCTGGAGCAACAACTGTCCAATATGCATAGTCAAGTGCTAAATATTTACTTGTCCCACATATATACGTCAATCTCCAATATGTGTTTCAACTGTAGCTTTATTCCACATTATGTCGGCCATCGGTACTCTAGCCTTAATGAACACAGAAATTTGGGCCCTATTGATTTATAGCTATGCTCTGTCGAGACGATGAAATTTCTATACCCGAACCTATGTTAAATCCAACAATCACAATTATGGAGCATGGACAACAAGTAAAACTAAGTAGAAGATTGTTGTCTGTATGTGGCATAAATATTATATTCTTAAAGGTAAAAAGTTTTTGAAAACTAAGAATGAGGCACTGATAAGTGATATATGTATGTCATTTATAACAAGAAAAAATTAAGTAACGTTTGAAAGATTCTTTTTTCCATACTATCTTACAAAGTTTATATTAGACAATATTATATTATCTGTGTAAACAGAAACTTGACAAGCACAGAATAAAGTAGAAATTGATTTATTGTATATTCCATTTTATTCCAACAAACTATAATTTTTTTTTTATGTTTGCATTCCTAATAAAATAATTATTAAAATATGATCATGAATATCCTTTAAACTTATACAAAAAGAAGTTTTTTTTGATTATAAGTTAAAAAAATGAATTTAATTTCAATGTGTAAATCAGGGGAGTCCAGACCAGAGAAGATCGTGGACTAATTCAAATCACTGAATAGGTTGGAGAGCCATAAAAATAAATACATACGTTCGTAACTGTGCTGAACAAAAATAAAAATACGGCGATGATGTTATATTTAGTTTTATAATTTTTTCATTAATTTACCTTTTACAATTCTATCAACATTATTAACATTATTTGCAATATGATATATATAATTATTTTAATGTAATGACTTATGGCACTGGATACGTTTTTCGAACCAGTTGTACAAAGGAATATATACTTAAGTCTTCGTCAGCATAAATTTGTAAGTAAATTTACGTGAAGTGTAATAAATTATTTAAAACATTTTAATACATTCATTTAAGATACAATATATATAAAATAATGTGATGTTACCAAAATATAACAAAAAAAATTTGCAAAATTATGATAGATTAGAAACACTTCACGAGCCGCACAAATGTTGGCCACGGGCCTCATGTAGCCCGTGAGCCGTGCATTAGACAGCCCTGATGTACACAAACATATTCTGGACATACTATATATGCATTGATTATATATACAAGAACCAGTTGAATGAACTAATGTAAGAATGTGGTCATAGAATAAGCGATTATAATAATAAAATTTTGAATATAAAGAATACCAAACAGTTTTGCAGATTTTGCGCTGGTGCAATTTTAAGATTTTCTGTAACACGCTCCTAATTCAATTTTGACAGCAAAAGCGAAAGAGAGATAACAACATTCGATGGGAGCGCTAAAGCAATAACACAAAAAAGTGTAAGTAGGCAAATGCTACTCATTCCATGGCACTATAAAAATAATTTATTAACTACATATCGAAGAGATTTTGTTTATTTGGTATTTTGAGGGAGAAAGATTTTTAAAATTGCTCCAACCTAATGAGTTGAGGAAGTGCTGTCGCTTGAGTAGTATCGTTGTCGCGGCGTTTGTTATTGTTACAAAGAAAAACAATAATAAATCAAATATATTTTATTTCTATACATGTTTAAAAATTATTATAAAATTAACTTTTTACGCGAACGAAATTGAAAAATTTTTATTTATAAATAAAATACACAAAATTCTTTATTTTTTGCAAGTGTTTGTGCATTTAATTATTGTTGTTATAATACTATATTAAAACAAATTATTAAAAAATTAATTCCAACAGAAAGATATTAAATATATTTTTGTGAGTTCAACAGTAAATGGCCGAAAATAAAGGAATCATGTTAGCTAAATCTGTGCAAAAACACGCTGGACGTGCTAAGGAGAAGGTGAGTTGGTTGAATCCTCTTCAAAAATTGCATCCTCTTGCTTGAATTGCAGCAACTTGTGTGTTTACAAAAACAAAAATAGATATGCAATAAAACATCAAACAATACGTGAGCGGTAGTGGGTTGAAATTCCGGTAAAGTTTTGCCTAAAGGTAGCAATGCTGCTGTAACAAATTCGTACGCTACTCCATGTTAGATGCGATGGCGTTGATTAACGCTTTCGTTGCTTCACATGAAGTGCTTTTGCCATGCGAAGTCATAGACTTGTTGTGAACAATGACTTGTAGTCACTGGATAAGAGCATCGTAGGCTTTGTCTTATGGTACATATGTTCAGAAATATGGAAAATCTACATCAACAACATCACAGTTAGCTGCATCGGGAATCCCTTATCTCTTTCATTGTTGGGAAATTAGTTTAACATATTCTCACCTTGAGAAACACTTAATTGCGATTTATGTCAGAACTTTATTGGACTTCTCCAGAATCTATGAAGGCCATATATCACACAATATGACCAAAATTAGCTGACCCCATGAATATGATTTCTTTCGATGGCTTTGATAAAGTAAATTTAGTATGCAGAAGAATATTTTATAAAATCGAATAATACCGAATAATAGAAATAAAAAGTTACCAGTAGCGTGACATTCTAATAATATACCCATAGGTGTTTCAATTAAATAAAAATCTGTTCATGTGTTACTTGTAATAAATTACAATAAAATCTCCTACAAATTTACATATACCTATCTACATAACGATTCTTTCAATTACTACTTAAAATTCATTATAATTATACAATATTAATAATTATGGTTATAAATTAAAAAATAATAAACATTATATATATCTATATAATGTGTATAATATAAATTCAGTATCTTTGTTCTTGCTTAGGAGTCTATAGATATTTAGTATATATACCAGGCAGCCAAATTCTATATAAGAATGTATATTTGATTGTACAGTATGCTATCATTTATCAGGACAATTGTTTTCCAAGGGTTGCCCGAATTTCTGGTCAGAGACATATTAGGGATGCTCTTTCATTGTGGAAGCAAACCTCAGTTCTTTCTATGCTTTTTACATAAGTCATATAAACTTATGTACAGTTCAAATCAACTTCTTCTATGTGTGTAATTAAAGGACTACTGGCTGGATCTAAAAGTACTTTTTTTTATTATAGAAGCAAATCCTCGATACCTCTTAAGTGAGTCATATAAACCCAGAGTTTATGTTAGCTCAAGTAAACTTTTCCTATGTGTGATTTTTAAGAGAAAATAGACTAGATCTAAAAGTGCTATCTTGTTGTAAAAACGGTTAACTTCCTCTACGTTCTTTAACTAAATCATAATTTTATTATATTGCTTACAGAATGTTTTTTATCTGAATAAAGAACATTTATTTATATAAAAGTATTGATTAAATTATGAAAGATTGTCTAAACATACAGATAGATAGAAAGTCAACTTGGTACTGGCACTCGGGAAGCAGAAAACTGCGGCTGTGATTGTTCTTTTTTGTTGCTTTTCAAATAAACTCCAAATATTGAAGTCATCCCAACTTCTTAAAAGGTTAGAAACTTCCGACCTAACAGTTTCCTTCCGACTCACATCAAAGCCGAACAGTCACAAAGAACGTGACTAGTAATGTCATCCGTTCCCAAACAGAAACTGCATACAGACAGACACACATTATTAAAATAATTACGTAGGTCATGATAACCCGATAAATAACCAAGTTTAGGTGCGCTACAAATAAGTTTAAATATAGCTATGAGCTGGGCCTGCATACCGTTTAGTAGTGCTTAATCTATACTCTTTCATTGTAAACTCGGCATATTAAAAAACAAGGTGGATCCAAAGTTCATCACAGTTCAAATAAACTTTATCTATTTATGTTTTAAAATAAATATTGCGGGACCTAAAAGTACTCTTCCATTGTTAAAACTCTTCTCAACTGAATTTCGGTTATTAAAGTGAACTATAATTTCATTATTTTGCTTACTGAGGTGATACAGACTGAGATAAGATGAATACATTCATGACATTATGCTACTTAAACTATTGATGTTTGTCTGTTAGCTTTGAGAAAAAATGTTATCCATTTAAAAGTTATAGTAAATATTTTCAAAAATATATAAAGTATACTAAAAATATTAGTTAAAAAATATATTATTTATTGCGTAAATAATTTAGAGAAAAGAATTACTTATTCTTGGCATAGCAACTACGAATTCAAAGTAGTTATAGTCTGGAATTGCAGCAATGCACTTGACCCCAATTCGAGCTCAATAAAAAACTAAAACCCCAAAAAGGATGCACATGTCCTGAATACGCAAATGCAGATTTAATTAAAAAAAATAAAAATAAATATTTTTTATATTTTTAATAAAATAAAAAATCTGTTTTACACTCATTTGAAATACATATGAAGAAAAATTATTAAGAAAATATGTTTTTCAAAACAGATAGATCTAAATGTAATTCTTAGATTTAATAATAAGAATTTTACTAAGCATTTTAAGTGAAATAATAATTTTAATATAAAACGATAGTTATCTTATCAAATTTAAACAAAGAAATAAAATGATATATTATTAATGTTTAATGGCAGTAAGAAGACTTTTATTTTTCGTATAATGCAAATACCGGTCGTTGTGCTAAGTAAACTAAACTTTTATTATTTAACAATTATTATGTCATCAATAAAAGAAAGTATTTTATTTTACATTAAAATTTTTCTAATCTCCAAACATTCGCATTTGACTGTAAACGTTGGAATATAAATACCACTATTTAATGGGTGGTATTCCCTAAATATACTTTCTGAAACCACTTGTCAATATCGATTACTAATTGCGACTATTCACTTCATTGAAGACGCTTTGTCGCAGGAAAAGGGATTTAAAAGATTTCCCTTACAATATTTAAACGGCACTGATTACGAAAAAGCATTATATTGGTTGAATCCCTCTTTACTTGAATCCCTAACACTCTTTTCTCTTAATAAAGGCTTATTTATTTCAAGATCCTGATTAAGCAGCACTAATTTAGTGATATCTTAGTTGATGCAACATAACTGTCAACAAAGACAGAAATGTATACAGTGGATCCAGACATTACATACTGTGGATATATTTTACATTTCTTGCATCCAATTTTCTTCAGAGACGAAGCATATTTTATGTTTAGGGACTATATCGAAAACAAAATTGTCACATGTGTGACAGTAAAGTAAGTGTTTTAAGCCCATTACATTCATAGAACTTATGGTGGGACGTTGGGCCAGCGCACCGTCCAACAAGTAGCCCCACTAAAGTGAAGGATTAGCCGAAGTAGACCACGAAACTACTTGGGTCCTTTTTCGTCCTTCTATTCTCGGATGTCGTTATTGAGTTAAAGCTGGAGTAGCTTCCGTTCGCATAACTACATCTCTTGTTAATGCAAGCAGCTCATTTAGCTTGAGGTTGCCTGCCAAGTCATCACCAACCCAATGGTGTCCCAAGACAGTCTTCCTTCTACTTGCCAGTGCTGGACATTGGCACAATATATGCACCACTGTCTCCTTTTCTTCTAGATATAGTCTGCAAGTGTCTTCCTCAGCAAGAGTTATTTATGGAAAGTTACTGAATGACATTGCCTTCGGTTAGGAAGAAACTGAACCTAGCAGCAAGTACTATTAGGTTTAGCCTGTGCTTTGTTAAAAGTGTCAAATCTGCGGCACAAACTGATTACTTTAGCTAATTAATTACTAAAGAATTTGGTATAAAGTTAAAGATATGAATGTGGAGATAACCACGTTTTCCGGGCATGTAATTTTACGTTTTGGTACTGTAGATTGAGCAACAAAATTATTCTTTGGTTAAAAATTGTTAAGACGATTTTTTATCGTGTTAATGTGGACAACTCTCAAATAGATATTAAATTTTTTGAAAGTCTACCATTACACTTAATGGTGGTCTAAGCATTTGAAAAAATGCTTCTGAGAAAAAAAAAGGTCTGCGAGAACTTTTTATATTAGAAATATATTTTAGATTTGTAGAAAAACCGGAGTCTTTTCCGAAGTCAGAAAAATTAGAAGGGTTCAAACAGTGATGAAGAAGCAGCAACAAAAATTTGATTAATTTGTTTAAATTTAGCTGATCTTACAACGCTGTTTCGAATATGTTCCATTTTTTTTTTTACAATTTTATAAATGCACTGTTCGAGGTCCTAGAGATCACGTGACACAGTCAATTCTATCCCTCGTAGTCCGTGGTATAAAATAGTTAAATGATTTCTTATTTAATATAAGATCAATTGTGTTTCTTCTTTTTTAAAATGCAACACCTTCTCTTTAATGACTTATAATTTATTTATTTATTTTTTTTGTTTTTTTTTTTCATTTATCTAAATAACCAATTTTGATAATTTTTTCGTAAATATGTTTAAATGAAAGCATTAACATACCTACAACAAAAAACATAACAGGTTCAGATTTGTAAAATTAAAGTGGCATTTAATTTCACATAGCAAAGAGAAAACGGCAAAATTCATAGGCAGTGGTGTAGGAGAGTAAATGTACTAAAGGGTATACTCGAAGTAAAATAGTTAAAGATAATTCACAAGTACACAAGAGGTGGCCATCAAATTTTATAGTAACTGGCCTAAGAGTGACTCGAACATTTGGAAAGCAGCCAACTTCATTGACCTAATAGTCTGACTGACAATTTGCTCTTGCACATGAATTTTTTCTTTATTGTTTTTGAGTCCGCATTTTATACTAAAACCAAAACAAAATCACTTGTTACTTCCACGTCGCAACCCAAAGAATTCCATAGTTTCCTTTTTGTTTATTTTTGTATCTTGTATCTTTTGCTTCAAACTTTTCCCTTGAATCGTCTCAATCTGTGCAATCAAGTTTCGATGTGCTCTTGTGTTAGCGTTGATTTCTTCTTGTTTACCTCATCCAACAGCTTAGGTTTGTTTTGGCCCGACTCGGCTTGGAGTGCGCTT